TGTGCATCAGAAAGCAAATTTGCGAAACGTTGGTCAGTATAAATTGCGTGTGGGAAGTTGATTTAATTTACTAAAGAGTGACGCAGACAGCTGTCATAAAAGAAACTGCAAGTACACAGCAGTGGTTCAAATGTATCCGTAATTATACTCTATTTTAATGACATCTCCGCGGGCGCCCGTTATGTGCAAGACACTAAATAACGGATGCGACAGTTGCAAATAAGTTCCATTGTGTTCGCCAGTCTTTAACTTTCGACTCGGTAGTTGTTTACCCTACACTCGTCAATTAACGCAACTATGTCGCGTCAGCTGGTCACAGTCACAGTGAAATCAGACTCTATTTCCAACCATGTCCATTTCAACGTCGACTTGTATGTGTTTTTGATCACCTGGCGAACCGCTGCGAGTCGCTTATCGGCAAATCGGTAGAAAATCTAAACTGTTATAACGGAATAGGGCGTGAAATTTTCGATCGTTCTTTTGTTTTGTTCAATGTAATTGACGATGGGAATTATTTAAGCCAATTATGTGAATTAATGAAAAACAAAAAAAAATGTAGCAATTAAATTGAATGGGTTCTGTAACAGCTAGTTCCGGCTCTGGTCTGTTTTTTTAAATAGGAATAAAAATAACTGATAGGAACAACACCTTTCAGTAACGACAAGTGACAGGCAGTACTAATTATGGGAGTGTTAACAAAGAGGCGGTTCTGCTATTATCCCGACTACTTTTTTGCGAAAGAAAAATTACTTTTGAACAAAGCCGTACTAGCGACTTGAAGTTCAGGTTGTATTCTCGTGTTCGCTCACCGATTGAGCTGTAAACTTCACGTGAACTTCAACACGCCAAAATAGAACCAATGTCATTCATTTTATTATAGGTGTACAGTTGTTGTTTGAACGGCAAAAACTTAACCTATCATGCTATTTACACATATGGTATGGTTAGATAGATAATTTTCGTGATTAAGTAATCAGCGCATACAACGATTATACAGTAGCATTATGGGGCTATATGTGAATATCGTCAAATGGCGCCCCATTGTTGAGCTAAGCATAACGCGACGCCTGTAGTTTGAAAACCCAAACCGAAGTTCGACGTTCAATAAAATGCAAACTCATATTGAAACGGGTTTATATCTTACATATTCTACGTCTAAAAAATCTAACAGGCGAAGGAATTTAACCTGTCACAAAGTATGTTAAATATCATAATGGGACTCATTGCGAATTTTCGATGTCTCGGGTTGAACAAAGAAGGCTGGTGTAGAGAGCTAGACTCGGAATCTGCAGGAGGGATAGATGTATCGAATTCATAAAATCATGATCAACCTAATTATTTTGTTACTGATTTTTGTTCATCTTTGTATTCGTATGATTCAATTTAGTCACATCATCTCTTGTTAGTCATCGTGGTATGTGTATGCAAATTTATATGAGAGACCTTTCCACCAATCATTTTAAACTAAGAAATGGAACGTGATGTTAATTTTGCTTAAGGCGCTAATACTGACAATGTTAACCCTTATCTATAGTCCAGTTATCCGTCAGCCATCAACTGCCGATATATAGATAGTAAGTAAGGTATTGGGTCGTGTTATTAGTTTTGATTTTATTTCACACAGGCTGCAGCTGATTTCACTTCAACTCACCGATAATGTAACACAAGTTTATTTTATTTGTTTCCGTCCGGGTCTATAAGTAACGCTTAATACTCGCAATGGTTCAAAACTTGGCGATACTGGAATAAAAAACACGATAACTTTAATATTTATGAATTATCAACGTAAATATTCATTAAAGACAAAGGGTCGAAGGAAATCATAAGGTGTCGATTGTCGGATACTAGTAGTCACACGCCTTATGAAAAAAAGTATATTACCAGTTTTCATAACTTTGATATAAATTAAGATTAACATTTTTTTTTAGTTTTGTTGGTAATATACAGTTTGGATTATGCTTACCCCGGCTTTAGAATCCCCGAACATGTCTTTGTTTAGAAATTGCGCCCTCATTGGTAACAACCATTCATGTCAGCATTTCTTCCGTTTCATCTTCTTCATATATGACGATTCATCTTCGATTTATCTGTAAACCGGTTTGGCAAACATCCAGATGAAAAGTCTCGGTTGTTGGTCATCGTTTTTTGGTGATTTCACATCAACTACCGGTGAATACGCCCATAGAATGAGCACTGTCTGTGTAGGCTACCTGCGGCGATACCCATGGAGATGTCACACAAAAAGCAAACGCTATAAAGTGAAACGTTATTAGCGCCATGTTCTCACGCTGGCTGCACACACCAAAACAGATGAATAGTTTGCAAAATATAATGAGAGCCGCGGAATTCGGTGCATTCTCGACCAGCCCAGGAGGGGTCGTTTTAGTATCCCCCAATGCCTTTGCTCTTTACCACAACAATAAAGAACATTCGAGGGGCGGTCAAAACTAATTGAACGATGGTTGGGTTGAAATCATCTAATTCGACTTTCACTAACATATTTTGTCTCGTCGAATATATAATCAGAGTTGTTGTTTAATCAAAGACACTAGAGTGTCTTTGGTTTAATGAACCTTGATGATAATCCATCGCGAAGTAGGATGTCGGAATTCGTTTTCAAACACTGAAAGCAGGACTGGATGTGACAACAGGGAATAATTTTCTCGTAGCAATATAATGGAAGGCATAAACAATATTTTAAATTTAAACCAACTGCGAGTTTAGTTTAGTTTAGTTTAGTTTAGTTTAGTTTAGTTTAGTTTAGTTTAGTTTAGTTTAGTTTAGTTTAGTTTAGTTTAGTTTAGTTTAGTTTAGTTTAGTTTAGTTTAGTTTAGTTTAGTTTAGTTTAGTTTAGTTTAGTTTAGTTTAGTTTAGTTTAGTTTAGTTTAGTTTAGTTTAGTTTAGTTTAGTTTAGTTTAGTTTAGTTTAGTTGGCAGCAATAAAAATGTGTAGTTCTTGGTTGACAGCATTACTAAACATATTTTAGAGTTGGCAATATATTCACACATACGTGATGTAATAAATAACACCCACCATTCACTAACTATTAAAAATATGCTCACAATGTACAGCAAGAGAAAGTTTTATAGAAAATAGGAGGAAAGATTTGTCAGACATTTAAATAAATTTAAATAAATTGGGCAAAGTGTCCATCTTCTTCATTGAAGATGTAGAACACTTTTCAAGAACGTAAAGTTTCATTTTTCAAAATTTCAACTTAGAAAGCGAGAGGAAACGCTGCTTACACAACAGTTTTCTCAGTTCCTGTGAGTTGAGTTACGGTGACTGGAAAAAATGGTCTCATATCACTAGAGTGACTTTCTATACTAAATGAATATTTCCAGTTAAGGCTGTAATACAACGTGTACTTCAGTTGATTTACACTCGACTTAAAGTTCGCGCAACATATACGATTCTTTGCCTAGTTGTTTGGATGTTTCGAAAAACATTTATTTGGATTTACTTTGTTTTCGCCATCCGTTGAGTTATACCGGCCTTCGTGATTGTAAAGGCCTTGAGAATATCTTTGTTGGACAAAATAATGAAGACGTTTCTTTTATTGTGGCCACATCCTACTGTCACCATACAGGAGCGGGACCACCTTCTGAGTATACGGAACCTTTTCACTGAATAATAACTACGTCTGCCAACACATTTGTTTGTAAAACTATACACCTTCGTTAAAACCCCGGCGTACAAAAACATACAACATTTCGCTTTTGTTTCTCTCTAATGAACGACGAAATAAATAAATAACATAAAATTACTGAGATAAATGTTTTCACACACTGAAGTTTTGCGGTTTGCAATGACCTTGGTTTTATTTACCAAGGCCAAAGTTTACAATTACGTGTATGTACATAATGATCGACGTGGTCGAGAACGTCATAGTTACGACATCATCCTCATCCAAAAATTGACACTTTTATTGGATTGTAATGGGAGGCGCAGACCGTGACTATCGAAGAAAACATCCGCTAATGACATGCTAAGCCAATTAGACGATCGCCCACCCTACACTATAGATACGCGCCCTACAGCAAGCACGGTTTGACTGTTTGATAAGTTTTTCACAAGACATTTCTGCCAAACATAAAAGTGTCTTTGTGCGTCGCACAATACGTGTTTTTTTCATTGCCTTGTCGCCGTGAGTACGTTGAAGTGGGAGTTCTCTTGTAGCATTTCCCCGTCAACGCCTTCGATACGATAAGCGCCCCGAGTCCTATGCAAATGAGCCAATTAGCTCACACCACCAATTCGCTAATACCACAATGCCGTTAAGCAAACAATAAGCGAAGCGAACACGTCCCTTTAGTAGTTTGCCATCAGCAAGAGAAAGGGCTGAGAGACACCCATATAGAACCCCAATGCAGCGTAAATAAATCACTTAAAATTAATTTCAAAAGAACCATTGACCAATAGAATACTAAAGACAAAAAATAGAGACGGGGAGAGTCGTGGTTTTGCGATGGCAGAAGTGTAAACTTTTACGACTTGGAAAATAACTCCATCATAATTGAACGTGATTGCTGCTCCTCTTTATCACAGTGTCCGTCAACGTCATCTTATATTTTCACCATATTTTCTGTGCCCCGGTGGGCGTTTTGGGGGTAATTATGGTGCACAATGCATATTTTGCCTTTTCTTCCAGGCGCTCCTGGTAGCATTATTCGAAGACAAGGTGACTCTAGCAATTACCCTATTGCCGTGAAACAAGACACTGCCACACCATCCCCTAAAAAAGACCATTAATACTCGGTGAATGGAGTTTGTGAAGAAGCTGCCCGCTAGCAGGGGCTTTGGTGTCTTGAGCTGATTGGGACGAAAACTTGAGCGAATGTATGCTGAATAGCGCCAGCTGTCAATCATTCGTGACATGACAGGCGCACAAAGCATGAGATGTCAGATAACTGACAGTTATATGGCGTATGTTGTTCTAGTCCTCGGCTGCCCCTACCGCCACTTGTCTGGATAAATTACGGCGAATCACGTCACCTAGCCTGATTTTAAAACAGTGTCCAGTATAGTCAACATCCGTTCAGTGAACAGTGCACATTGCCGAAACTTTTTTCTCACTGCAAAGATGGACCGGTTGGTCGACTCGCGCCCCGCTATGGGTTTTCCAAACTACCTGCAGTACCCTTACGGGCATTTCGACTTCAGGCGAATCCCCTACAGCGGACGAAGCATGGTACCGTCGCCGATACTAGAAGAGCGGAGACTTCAACAAACAGCGTTACCTCACATGCAAACAGGAACAGATGAAACGAACTCATGTAATCTTTTCGATCCGAGTATGTATAGTTATGAACGTTCACAACGCGATACTCGGCCCCTGCTGGACAGTGATTGTGACACCGATGAACATTCCGAGATCATGTCGCAAATGACAACGACGAATAAAGTTGATCTGGCGAGTTTAAAAAGAAAATACCCCGACCACTGCAGGATACTAAAAGTGAAAGGTGAGAAACGATACCGGAAATGATATTATACAGCTAGAAAACATTTGCGTTTGCAAACCAGTTTCAACTTTTTCATCATGATTAAATTTGTACATGTGTACCATCAAGCACATGTATACACTATAACCGTTAGTATCCACGTCGCGTCCAACGAAGTTTACGTATTGGCGTCACATGCTATACCACATTAATGCAGTTCTGCAGACAGGAATATCGTCCAGGCTGCTCTGTTCGTTTAACACTGTAATTTTCCAACTCTATAAATATGTATTTTATAAACGCAAAATTAATCATTGATGTCAACAAGCTAATATCGTAGATATGTTTTTCATGAAACCAACAAGTAAGCGATGACACCAACGCCGTTTTTTTAAAATTAACTTTATCTGGTGTTAGCACCAATAAATTTTACTTGTAAGTTTAGACTATGTCTTAAACACATTAAATATATAGATCCCATTAGCCTTGTCCACATCTGTTTCGAATGTATATATTTGATGCACGCAAAGTGTTACCATCTATTTTTTGTTCCAATTCGTTTGTTTAATATTGCCGAAGTTGAGCAATTAGCTTTATACTTATTTTTCCGTCTCACAAAAACTCGTCGCCTCAAGTTAAGCTAATAATTTATGGGTATTAATGGTTTCTGAATACTCATTTTTATCAAGTTATTTGTTGTTATTTTTGGCTGTCTTAAAAATTTATAAATGCATTTATATATATATATTCTTTGTTAATTTGAATTCAAAATATTTCAACACAACTAGACAACTAAATGCTTTACGAATTTTTGCCAAATCTCTTCCCAAAGATATTATTCCATCCTATGAAATGGGAAAAAAATGTTATTTTCAAATGTAATCATAAAATATATATTTAATTGAACTGTAACAAATTTTATTATTGATACTTGAACTTCAACTGACGCTGAACGAATAGTCCCGACAACTTAAATCTGTTTTTTTTTTCTACTGCATCAGATTCCAGCGGCTGTGAACGAGAGATGGTGTTTCCAAAAGCCCTGGATCTTGATCGACCGAAGCGGGCCAGGACGAGCTTCTCACCACAGCAATTATACAGACTTGAACGTGAATTTCAACGCAACCAATATATGGTCGGGCGAGATCGGGCTGAACTTGCGACGTGTTTACATCTATCGGAGACACAGGTAAGACGGTTTTTTATTCAATGTGTATCGCCAGTTAAACAGAACACATAACTTAAATTACCAAGGGAACTTTGAGGTGTCGGAATTATGGGTTGTTGTCCGTCTTTGGGTGTCTTGGAATATTATAAGGAAGTTACACGTGCATTTTCCCTATACGTACTACAACATAACACTCGACTGGTTTTACTTTTTGGTAAAACATATAAAAAATTACATTTGATTTATTTATTTTTTAGTCCAAGTTAATTGCCAGCTATGTTGGAACCATTCAACATTTTAAATAAATTCCGCGTCGCTCTACCACAATCACATGTCATCGTGAATATATAGAGTTGATGTAAATATAAAACTTGTATGCTCGGTGTTCTTAGTGTCTTGATTTGTTTATCTTCAACACGCATCCGTTTTAGTTCCAGTGATGACCGATTATAAGTTGAGATGTTCAACTACTATAGTATATACATTGTTTTTACCACAAACCGTGTTATAAAGAATAGCCCGTTAAATACTAAATGTAAATATAACCCAAGGTAAATTTCGGAATTAGGTAGGGGGTTTCGCTTATGGAATAGAAGTATAGAAACGTGATATGTGATATTTTTTTGATTTTCGAATTACTACATGAAAAACTATTTTTTTTTATTAGTGAGTGAATACGTGATGTCATATGTTTATTTATTTAATTAAGCAGCTAAGTTGTTGACAATCATTCTCAATCAAGAATACAAACTGAAACCTTGAAATTGAAAGTAAATGTGCTTCAAACATGTGATGTCTTAATTCGAAGTAGGAATATCAACGCAATCACTACCTTATCAGTATATTCTCGCTACAAAGAACAACATTCAAATAGATGCACGTTGTGAACTTACAACCTCGGCTTCTTTATGAATATACTGTCAGACAAATATTGAAAAATCTCACACAACTAAAAAAAAGCAAATTTTATTGACCGTGGTCGATTTATCGTGCGTATGTCTGTCTTTCAAGCTGGTTAGCCGACCGTGGCAGCACTCATCTTTGCGTGATCAATTTAAAGTATGATAACTTGATAAATCTCCATTTACAAAACTCAGGCTTTAATCATTTTAATCTTAATGTAGAATATTTCAGCATACACTGTAACCTCAATATAATGAACACCTTTATAATGAATTTCCCGATATAATGAACACATAGCATGTCTCCCGCTCACAACAAACCCAATGTATTATGTGCTTCATTATAGTGAACATTTCACTATAACAAACTAATTGTACGTCCCCAAAGAGTTCGTTATAATGAAGCTACAATGTATTTTAATGCGCATTACACAATATGTTATGTCAAAGTCTGTCTGCAATTGACTGTTTTAGTATTAGTCAACAGTATGTGAGATTGGGGTGGAGGGGGGTTGTAATATGCCATTTTAGCTGTGGCTTCAAGTTGTACTTTGACGCCGAGCAAAATTTTGAAATATTAAGATACATCCTTGCGATAGGAAATAATTTTGGTAAAATGCCTTAAAACAAACAAAACATGCTATCTCCACTCAAATTTGTAGATTTTCTCCTGACTGAGTTCGGGTTACCCATAATTTTAATTCATTCACTTCATCTTCATAACATGATATATCAAAAATACAAAAATTAGAGTTTAGCAAAGGTCGCACATCGCACCCCTTTACCGGCGGAGTAACCGTGAGCCCCTCGTCGCCATAAGGTATAAGTATTGAACTTGCGGTCATTGCCCTGACTTAACTGGTATACGCCCATCTACTACTATCGTAAACAATAAGAATAATTTAAAATTAACGGGTCACAAACCGCTATTATGAAAAAATCGTAAAACTACAGCGCAAACCGATTCAGTCTCCCCTCTCAGATCCAGCCATAAATGTATTCAACAACACGAGATGCGTTAATTTCAACGACACGTGGTCCCGTCATACAGTTATACAGTTTACTGCTCGTTTTCTTTTTTGGGCTGAATGATTACACCAACACCACTTACGGATGTCCCGTCACGCCGAGTTGACCATTTCTCTTCAGGAAAAATATACTGTTTATCCAACTACGTCAAGTATGAACAAAGCTATCGTTCGATAATTACAATCAAAGCCCGGCGACGCTTTAAAATACTCTTTCCGGCGCCGCCACTCACGAGCGAGGCGACAGACACGTTTTGATTGACAGGAGACATATTTTTCACCCAATTATTTGTTTTTAAACCGGACTGTTACAATCGCGGATTTGAAATAATATCGAACTTCGTACAACGTAGTGAGCGCCGTGTGCCCTTGTCTAAAGATTTCACATAGACACGTGTTCCTGTTGATCACTTTTCATGAGTGCCATTGTTCCTAATGTATATAGAAGAGTTTTAGCTACATTCAGTCTTGATCACGGACATTGTTACCGATCAGAGGAAATGGAAATTGACAAAGTATTCAATGACCAATCATTATAGTTGGGTGTTAGTTTCTGCTAACAACAGTATGGCAACATTGAGAACGGTAAAGATGATATCAGTGACCACTTCCAGCGCTGTGACGTAGAGTAACAACCCTTCTAAATAAATAAATATATAAATAAACAAACAAACAAACAAACAAACAAATAAAGAAATAAATAAATAAATAAATAAATAAATAAATAATCTTTTATGGTAAAATTACTATATGCAATTACGACAAGTTCTCGACAATTTACTAGTGCTTATTACCAATAAGATCAACGTGTGCACTTGCAGTGAATTATGATAATATATTTATGTCGAGCTCCATGATTAAACAATGATTCATTTAACCACCAAATATAGACACTTTAATATATGTCTTGTAAAAAATACTTTGTCGAACCAACTTGAAATGATCCTCTAATCATTTTGTACATATACAAATATTTTTTTAATAATGTAAATATCATTATATGCTAGTTAACTTTTTATACATTGGCTGGGAAAAATAATTTATATATATTTTGAAAGAATCCGGTGTTACTCATTTTTATTATATTGACATCATTGTTTATAAATTCTGTCAACTCTAGTCAGTCATTAGTTGTAGAACTGTGTTTTTCTGTCGTTGAAGGGAATATAGAACGGACGGACTTCTAGCTGTCTATGTTTATTTATTATTTTTTATTCCGATAATTTAACTTTTTACCAAACATTGTAGGTGGAAATAGGAGTAGTCTGACTTGAAACAAACAAGCAAACAAAACAACATGTTGCATTTCAAGGAACTCGGGGATTTAACCTGAAATGCACTCCAGTTTAAAGTCACACCTGCCATTAAATCACGATGTTCGTGCAAACACACTGATATGTGTAAGAGTAGGCATAACAGACAAATCAATTAATCTTTGGATATATCGAAACAAATATAATGTCAACGGCATGATAATAAAGACGCAGTAAACATTTTACTGTAAAACACATTGAAATAGCTGCAAGCCATTTTAGCGAATTTGACTCAAAATCTTATTTTAGCTAAAATGCCAATAATCTCATTGTGAAAATCTTGAATTAGCGAAATTATAGGTTAGCTAAATTAGCTAAAATGACATGCTAGCTAAAAAGACGTGTTTTGCAGCATTTCATTCATTTTTTCATTGCCAGTATCTTTAGCTACTGAATGTAAAGCAGTATAATGATAGTCGGGAATATGGCTGTCGTACCAAAACAAATTGTCGGAATCCACAGAAAAAAACATGCACAGCGAGATACTGACTGAGTTTGTAGTCACACACTTCATAATAGCACAACAAAGCAATGTAGCAACCTTGGCTGATTAGCGATGATGTTAGTTTGTCATTGTCAGCAGTGTTTGCTGTAACCAGTGTGTGACTGAGCGTTGTACAATCATTACAATCGTAAACCTCCGCCTCTTCACCTAGTGGGAGGGCAAGCCGATAGTCTAACAATGGACACTAATTGAATTACCATCTACTTACATGGTTACTAATTAACGGATTATGATTTAATAGTATTTTAGTTATTGTAGAGATCTTTTCTGATGTGTGTGGTTATTGTCACTGCCCTATGTTGGCTTCTACTCACATTGCGCAATCTGTTCAACAAGTTTATGGTTTCCATGCTCAGTTCGAATTGTTCTTGAGTTTTCATGCTATTATTATTATCATTGTGACATAGAGGGCGCCCAGTAGACTACAATACGCGTATATGAGACATGTTTCAAATTGGTAAACTTTAATAGATTTTTAGGGGGAAGCGCCTACTTTCAAACTTGAGATACTTAACAATCGAAATCTGCTCTGAAGCCCTTAAGTGGATAACGAATTCACTCTGCATATACTCTAAAGGCTGTATGCGTTATGCGCTTGGACGAAGGTTGTGATTTAACACAAGGGTTTCATTCACGTCCCCTTCCACGTCCACGTACACGATACAGTTGTATTATATTTCGAGTGATGTTTCAGATTTCTCGTTGTTATTCAAAATAAATAAATAAATAAATAAATAAATAAATAGAAAAAACAGCCATTAAAAATGTTTGCGCTTGTTCCGCTATTTTAGCGTTAGCAGTTGGAATTCTTTGATTTGATTTCTTTGATGTAAAAACAAATTCATATACCATATACTTGTAATGTTTGTTATTATCTTAGGGCCACTCGGCATGCGCGTGAGGATCCGACTCAAGAGAAACGGGGATGGAGTGCTTCATACGATTGGTTCCCGTCAGCAAACTTAATACTTGTGTTTGCGGTTTTATTGTATTTAATAGTATCCGTCCTCGGTTTGGCTAAACTGTTTTTAACAACTATACAGTATTAATGAATGTTCCTCTTTTCAACTTAACAACGTAATTTTTGACAAATCATTGTCCCGTCGTCGTGGAACGAGGATTGAGTCACATATACATGTATTAGCCGAGTTACACAATAATAAGCGGGATTCTGAAGTATTCCTACGAAGCCAGATGTTGTTCCATATGTGGCTAGACTCTTTCAGTCGCATTGTTGCTTCCACAGGTGGTGGGACTTGAAAAGTGCTGAGATACGCTCATAGCGTCGTCAGCGTATGTGAGTGCGCTTGTAAGAAGGCAGGCGAAGGACGCCTCGCCAGAACAGCCGGCAACGGACGTGCTTCCATCATTTTGTATAACATTGCGGCATGGCAACAATAATGTTGTCACCGTGACGTGCGCGACTATCGGCGGGATGGAAGAGAGGTTATTCCCGGTCAAACGTATCCAAAGATTATGACGTATCGAAAGTGACGCAAACAATGAAATGATATAAATGAAAGTAAAATCAAGCATTAGACACAAATACACCTTATTATGGAGGTCCTGGGAGCGGACTTTGCGGTGCACGATTTTTTACCTCATTGTGACATATCAAAACAAATTGTACAATCAAATTCGCAACAATTAAAGATGGGTGAATAAACCCGAGGACGTTGACAACAATTTGGAATTGAAGCATTATCTATTTTACAGTGTTAGTGTGAGAACATACACTTCTGCAACGTCATCGTTTCTATAATAATCTAATAATCATGTCTATCAGGATGTGACCCATTCAAATGGTGACTGAAAACAACTTTGAAAAAAAAAGTACACTACAAATTATTAATGTTTTGCGGCTACAAAAAACGGTGTTCGTTTCCATGGAAATACCCAATTTGCGACGACCGCCATTTTGAATTGTAAACGAGCACATGTAATTAAATTAAAAAATTGAAACGTGGTAGTTTCTGAATCGATCTGTCAATAATGCCTGTATCGTCCAGCGTTTAAATGAAGAGCCGGGGTAACTTCCTGTTTATACCAGCGTTTCTTTGCTGGGACAAAACACACACCCACATTTGCAACGAACAGCTGTCACGTTCACATGTCAACAGGGTCAAGGTAGTTTCTGTTAGTATTACTCTCGTACTAGAAATACATTACAGAAATACATTCCGGGACTTATTTTGATAAACGAGGAGGGGTGGGAAACTTGACAGGAGTAATCACTTTAAAGATTCTAGTTTCAATGTTTTGTGACTAACTGTGATCTAACAGCAAAAGAGACTGAACAATTTATTTCGGATTCATCATAAATGTCCAGTTTTGCGCAGATTGTTCACTATAGACCACGATTCACTATTTTTGTTTTTACCGAACTTAAAACTGTATTTCTGCGTTTAATGTACCGACCAGAATGTAGTTTATGTACACTGACGTGACTAAGACAGGACGAATAACAACATATGTACCGGTTTGGCAATAATACGTTCCAAGACATTCAGAATGAAAACTTTAAGATCAAAAATTTATACAGACAAATTTCAGAAACACTGCATCAGAATTTCAGAATAGATTTCTGAAAATTTTCCGCTGCAATTTTGAAATGTTCACACACGTTATTGTGATACGGTATTATTAATTCCTTGTGAGCCACGATTGTGGTTGCAGAACGCGCATTATTATGCGTATTGATATGTCCAGTTAGTTGCGCATTTCTGACAGAACAACAAACTTTTTAAACACAGCACATGATATTTAGTCATATTATTAATATTTAACTTCAAAGTGGTGCATTTCTGACGTTCAAATGAAATGTACATAATTGTTCGTTGTGATCATCAAATGATCGAAAATCTTTCCTCAGATTGCACATACACACTTTTTATTTCTGTAACTTAAAATTCGCAGAGTCGATTTAATGCCGTGAAGTTGTTTAGTGTATTTCGTTGTACTATTGTACTAGAGGGTCGGCAAGGGGTGTTTTCGTATGCTGTAAACATTTTTTTTTATCTTCGTAATAATGTAATTCAAATAAATTAAAAACGTAAATTCGTAGACATGGACAAGGTGTAAAATGTAATGATCTATTTTATTCGTCCGTAATTTGTGCGAAGATCTTATTTTTTGTAAGCGTATGTAGCATTTTCAACATTAAATGTAATTCGTACGCAATTTCCAGTTTTGATTCTTAAACACAAATTATCTAGTATATTATAAAAATGTAATTAGAAATTTGCTTTATCTGTAAAGTGGACTAAAACTATTTTTTACTGTAATTGGAATATTCTTTTTTATTTCATGTAAAAACGTAAAATGCATTTTTTATTTCCTGTAACCTGTACCAGCTAACCCCCCTTGCCCCCCCCCCCCCATCATACTAAGCGAGTCAGCGCTAAACCATCTGGACGGTTGATGTCTTACGGTCGTGTCTCTACTATAATCATGTTTGTATTGTGAATAGTCATATGTTGTCATTGTTCATATAAAGTAAATACATCCATGCAGGGCCCCACTCATTTGAAATACACTTGTTACAACTAATATGCACCACGCCACGTGACGTTCGCCTCGATCTCCGTTTTACCACTTTGCGCGTTTGTTACAGTATTCTGGAAACTGAAAACGTCATTGTAATTAAAAGTAAATACAATAATGACTTCAGTTTATTTGTAACATTGTGTCCTTTTTTTAGTAATTCCTGATGTTGTTGTTTCATTTATTTGTATAGCTAGACTATGAACACTCAGTGTCAAGACGCAATTTTATTATCTCGTTAATCCTGTCAAATTTCAACATTGCTTGTGTTTGTACTCAGGTACAACCCTATATCGATGGACTGTATCTCAAACAAATCGAAGGTCCGACTTGAACGTTGGACATGGCGCTGAAATTTCGACGAACTCCGATAACATCATAACGACAGCAAACTCATTGCCTTGTCTTTTCCTTTCTTGCAGGTTAAAGTCTGGTTTCAAAACAGACGAACGAAATTCAAACGTGAAAAATGTAAAGAAGTGGAAAGCCAACAACGGAATGCCGAAAGCATGGCCACGAGAAATATATTAGAAATATTACAGTATGGGCCCATGGCACGAATGTCTTACGTTTAGCTCGTTGTCATGACAATACGCTGTATGAATTTGTGTATTTCGTGTTGCTGGAACGCTGCTGAAATCCGTCGGTACCTTTAAAGTTATCGCCACGCTTAGAGAACTCATTTGACTAAAGTGGTACCGACGACACTGTGTATCGAAAGTTTTACACTTTCAGGTTGATTAAACCAAAGAACTAGTCATCGCATGTTAAACGAATACAACATTGATAAACAAGGAACTGTTAAAATATTTGTTGGAAGATACAATGCTGGGACATTTTTTTTCTACATTTCTTGTTTTTATATTGCCAGATATTTATGCGTTGTCAATTTCAATGACGTGTGTGTATATTTTAAACACGCAAACGTAATTAGAGATAGGTTTTACACAAATTTTATATTTCAAGACCGCGTGATTTGATTGGTCGGACAGTGACAGCGGAAGTGGCGGCCATTTTGTTTTCTTCTTTATTTATCCGTATATTTTTTATTCTGGTTAGGACATTGCTGATCAAGCCATAGATCATAATGGTCAAAACTAGAATCACCACACCCATTTTTGCCACGATATTATTTGCACGTTATGACTTCAAGTTCACCGATAGTCTGTAATGCTGAACTTTCAGAATGGACGCTCGTCTGAACGTCAAGTTAAAATCTTTCAAAAGGCTACAAGAAAAGTAAATGTGATTTTCCACTTCCGGTCGGTTATTTATTTATTATAAATTATTTTCCTGGAAGAAATATCTGTATATTTTCATATCTTATTAAATTGACGAAATTGAGCCTCGCATTGGGTTGTAACATGTGTGACTGTATGAATTTACGGACGTCATTGATGGACGATGGAGTTAACGTATGCACAGGTTTTACATTAAAGCGCGGTAGTCCGCGCTCGCATGTTCGACATTTGTGTTGATAAACATTGATTTTCCCACAATCCAATGCGCTCTTCAAATGGAAATCACAAGTATGAGGTTTGACTTGAGCTGGACTTGCACTGATTACCGCCTGTGACTCCATCGATACCTTGCAATCACATGAAAATTACTAATTAAAGCTCGGAAACGTGTCAGTTTGTACTCGTTGATCTGCGCAATAGTCAAAGTCGCCATCTTTGTATATATGGGACCCATATATCTCGCACATGCGCAGCGCGACGACTACCGCGCTTTAAGTTGAAAATACCTTATCAGGAGATTATGAATTCACAGCGAGAATGCACACAAAATATCTTACCGTCACTTATCATGATCACTTGTTGGTTTCTCGTGGCGTCGCTTTGCGCATGCTCAGTGAGTTTCACAATGACGCTGACCCTGACGTAATTGTAAATGTACTGATGTGATTGGGGAACCAAACAACTCCAAAAAAGCAATTGAAGACACCCCCTTCCCCCGTCACAATTTTCAAGCAGAAATAAACAAATTATCAAAA